ACCAAGATTCTTAACATTTTCAGAATCTGCAGGTCATTTTAAAATTTGATGAGAGTAAGTTATAGACCTTCTTCCTAGAAAAATGTGCATATGTGCATATGAACATCCTGTGAAAATCTGCAGATAGCTCTCTGAAAGCCCATTTGTGTCTCAGCAAACAGGCCCCCGAGAGGCTAAAACCCTACATCTCCAAAGATTTTAAAATACCATGTGTTGTTAATGGTTTTGCCCAGCTTATGTATTTATTATGTAACATGATTCTTTTCCTTTGATATTGAAAACTTGAAGATTTGTGCCAGTTCCTCGTCTATAACTTAATGCAGAGTGAAGGTTTCTTGATCTAGGTCACGTCCTGTACAACTAATCTAAAATTACTACAAAAGAGAGCATATGCACTGAATCATGATCTGCACAAGACACTGATCAGAGACGGGGCTGTGATGGCAGGACCATCCTCAGCTAAAGGCCACAGGGACATTCCATTATCAGTTATTCTGGAGTTGTGGAATTTAATCCCAAAAGTACATCAGTTCATCCTGCCTCTAATGCCCTTTCATCTCAGCTATTAAAAATGTTACTCACACTTTAAGGCCCAGTTTATAGCATTCTTTTTCTATGTTTTTCTTCCCCCCGGAAACCATCTGTAGAATCAGTTTCTCTTTCCCCCGTCTTCCCATCACATTTGTTTGTAGCTAAATACTTTAAAGTATCTATCAAGTCTCTCAAACTTTAGATAACTCTTCTTTTCTTTTTTTAATTTTTTTATTTTGAGATGGAATCTCCCTCTGTCGCCCAGGCGGGAGTGCAGTGGCGCCATCTCGGCTTACTGCAACCTCTGCCTCCTGAGTTCAAGTGATTCTCCTGTCTCAGCCTCCTGAGCAGCTGGGATTACAAGCATATGCCACCATGCCCAGCTACCTTTTGTATCTTTAGTAGAGACAGGATTTCATCATGTTGGCCAGGCTGATCTCCAGCTACTGACCTCAAGTGAACTGTCTGCCTTGGCCTTTCAAAGTGCTGCGATTATAGGTGTGAGCCACCACGCCTGTCGTCAATCACTTTTCTAGAACCTTCTTGTCTGCCTCACTACAATAGGAGACTGTAGGAGAGCTCTTAGTTTCTGGTACATGGTAGGTGATCAACATGAATTTCAGAGGCAGTATGCATAGTTCTTAGGCAGTTTGGCTCTGGAAACCAAAAAGTTGAGTTCTAATTCCAGTTCTGCTATTAATTATCTGTTTGTTTTCAGGGAAAGCACTTCAATTTCCCAACTATCAATTTTCTTCATTGTGGAAAATAGGTATGATATAATAGTGCCCACTTCCCCGGGCTGTTGTGAAGATTAGTAACATACTACATCGAAGGCATTTAGCACAGTGTTTGGATCATAGTAAGTGTTGAATAAAGGTTATTTTGTTGACCTGAACTTTTTAAAAGAAATTTTCTTCATCTTTTTTATGTTCCTTAGTATAGTTAATAGTGATAGTATATAGCCAAAAAATAAAGTTATCATAATTTTTTGACAAAATTGAAATTTGCTTTTATTTTCAAATTCTTTTAAATATTTTTTACTTTGAGTATTTACAAGTCCCAATTTGGCTAGTAAAAGTTTCAGCTTTTATTATAGCCAGCCATATGACACTGAAGAGACCTGTATGTTGCTATGTGATATTGCTTTGCTTTTAACCTTGTCTCTAAATCTTAAGAGACGTGTATCTATAGCCTCCAAGTGGTCCTAATACCAGTTGAACAGGTGACTAATAATGGTAGTATCCTGAATGTGGTTCCTAGATTTGTACCCCAATTTCTCCCTAATCATGATCAAAGAGATCCTTCTCGGCCGGGCATGGCGGCTTATGCCTGTAGTCCCAGGAGGCTTATGCCAGTAATCCCAGTGTTTGGTAGGCTGAGGTGGGATGATCACTTGAGGCCAGGAGTTTGAGACTAGCATGGACAACACAGTGAGACCCTGTCCCTACAAAACAGAATTAGTCAGGTGTGGTGGCATGTGCCTGTAATCCTGGCTACTCAGGAGGCTGAGGTGGAGAGATTGCTTGAGCCAGGAATTCCAGGCTGCAGTGAGCTGCTGTGATTGCACTACTGCACTCCAGCCTGGGTGAGCAAGCAAGATCCTGTTTCTGAACACACACACACACACACACACACACACACACACACACACACGGATCCTTCTGTCCTCTCTTTCCTTACAGGGACAGGGCCAGAGAATTAGAGAATAAATTTACTGCTGGAAAAAAAGCAGTAGCTCACTTTATTCTAGTAATTTTTATATATTTGGATATAAAGAACAGCACAGGTATTCACTCTTTGAAGATTTAAGAAAACAATTTTATCTACATGAGCAAATTCCTCAAACCTCTTTCAAACTGGAATTAAGTTTGCTTGGATTTTGCCCATTTTGAGAATCTGAGTTTGAACAAATGTTTGAGGGCAGAGACTGTTTCATTCATCTTTGAACTTCTAGAACCTGGATAATCAGCCAATATATGCAATAAGTAGTTGCTGATTAAAAATATGTGACTATAGCTGGGTGCGATGGCTCACCCCTGTAATCCCAGCACTTTGAGAGGTCAAGGCGGGCACATCACCTGAGGTCAGGAGTTCAAGACCAGCCTGACCAACATGGAGAAACCCCATCTCTACTAAAAATACAAAATTAGTCAGGTGCGGTGGTGCATGCCTGTAATCCCAGCTACTTGGGAGGCTGATGCAGGAGAATTGCTTCAATCTGGGAAGCAGAGGTTGCGGTGAGCCGAGATTGCACCATTGCTCTCCAGCCTGGGCAACAAGAGCGAAATTCCATCTCAAAAAAGAAAAAAGGGATGTTCATTTTTTAAAATAAAAAGATGAAAAGAAATGCCATTAAAAATGATCTGCACTTCAAAAGTTTGAGAAAGAAACCAATTTTTCTGAGAAAATCTTTAGTATCTGAATCAGAGAGACTGGGATATTTTTGAGAATCAATTTTTGTTAATCATCGGTGAGCATGTATTTCTTCACTGTTGTTAATGAAATTCTACTCATTTTCTTGCTTTTATGTCTTTTGAAAATCAGCATATCTCTTTCTGAATTCCTCTGTAAATGAGAACTCATTACATGTTTTTCATATAGCACCTGTGAAAATGTAGATTTATTTATTTAGAGACAGCATCTCACCCTGTCACCATGGTGGAGTGCAGTGGTGTGATCTCGGCTCACTGCGATCTCTGCCTCCCGGATTCAAGCGATTCTCCTGCCTCAGCCTCCCGAGTAGCTAGGACTGTAGGCACATGTCACCATGCCTGGCTAATGTTCATATTTTTAGTAGAGATGGGGTTTTACCATGTTGGCCAGGATGGTCTTGATCTCTTAACCTCATGATCTGCCTGCCTCAGCCTCCCAAAGTGCTGGGATTACAGGTGTGAGCCACTGTGCCTGGCCTTATGACCTTTATTTTTATGTATAAACCAGTCAATAGAAGTACAGCTAGTGCTCGACTTACGACCACTATTGGTTCGGACAGACCGGTCGTAACACGATTTGGTCGTAAGTTGAGTAGGCTATATGCACGCGGAGACAGTAGTGCTGCTGGAAGCTGGTCCGCACTGTCATACGCCCAGCTGGGCAACGTTTGCGCTGCCAGACGCGGAGCAGTCGTGGCTAGCGATTGTGGTCGTAAAGTTGAATGGTCGTAAGTTGCATAGGTCGTAAGTCGATCAATACCTGTAGTTACTCTCTGAAACATCATTGGTAGGATTGATTTGATGATGAGAAATTAGAATCATGTAAGTGTTTACATTATATGGGAATGGACCGAGTAACCAACTTTGTTGACTAATTTTCTTTGTCTAATAAATGACATTTGAAAAAGTCAAAATTGACAGGAGGAAAAAAACTGGGGGCTTTCAGGATGTCATTCATTTTTTCCCTAGATAGATATCTGTGTCTTTTCTCAATCAATACATTTTGCTGCTGAGATGGTTTAGAAAATTGTTTTAGCTTTTTATTTATCTTTGCTTAATTTTTAGGTCATCATCAAAAGTCTTTTTTAGTTCTATTGTCCTGTCTCCTCTATGTGGCCATATCTATCCCAGCTCTAGGTGTTGGCTGACAGCTCAAGGGAGCTCAGAACTGAAGTATTTGCTGGGTAAACACATATGCCTTGGAATACTGATTTATACCTGTGCCCAAAGCTAATCAACTGAATGGAGAAGCGCTTCTTTTCAGGTCCCAATTGTACTTTATTGGAAAGGAATGCATCCTCAAGTTGCAAAATCTTGTTTAATGCAGCTGTTTTATGGACATCTGCCAGGATTTGTTACAGCACTCAATTTTTTTCAAAAGATCTACTAAAACTGAGATCAGTAACGCTCTTGTGTGAAATGATATTGTTAATGACAGCTGAAGGTATTCAAAGAACTACATTGAAAATTCTGGAAGTAATTCATTTATGATATACGGCTTAATATCTGAAACAATATTGTAGATAAGAATTCTTCAGGCCAACCTTCTCATGTTGCTCAACTATTTTATAACAATGAAGGATGCCTATTGTCTTTAATGATGTATCTCTGACTCAGAGGCCAACACGCAGTTCAGAAATGGCCCCAGAGACTCAAGTCTGAATTAGGATTGCACCTAGGAAGTATCCATAGCAGTCCTGCAGGAACTGGCTTCAGCTGGGTGTTATGTACAAGATAGTCTCCATGGAGACAGATCTTCTCAGACCATGAGAGGGGAGGTTCAAGGATCCTGTTCAACTTAAGGCAATTTGAAACCTGCTTTGGAGCAAATTGAATCCTTTGTATATCCTTGTAATTTAATTTAATCTCCCTTGGGGGATATGCTGGGCCTATTTCAAACCCATGCTGTTTGGATGTGTCTTCATCATTGAGGCTGATCCTAAAGTTAGGCTGTCTCCATGAGCAAGATTCAGGCTTGAGCACTGGGCCCAAGGCAATTGACCATGCTGTGTCTGGCTCCAGGTTGGGCTTCCTTACCTGATATAGGTTGGCAAGATGGTGGTTAGTTTTTATCAAAAATGGCTGGTTCACCCCTGGGTGGTCCACATCGTGAGCTGCTGCAGCCAGCAATCCAAGCATGATGTCCAGAGGCGTGAGGAAGCTGGCGAGCTGTTAAAAATACCAATTGGGAGATTGATTGGTGTGTTTCCACAAATAGGGTCATAGTCATTTTGGCTAAATCAAACAGAATGAATCATCATGGCATCGTTTAATCATATCAGCCAGACCTTTACCCTCTGAAGCATTAAATGAGGTGATAGTCACATAAAATTGCAGGCAAAAAGGAAAGGACTGTGTGGAAAATAATCGAGCAAACTCAAATTGTGTAGATCATTCAGGTATCCCCTTCTTCCTACTCCACTCTATTTTGTTTTGCTGTTATGATGGCATTGCTTGTTGATAACACTTCTGTTGGGTGGATAGGGAGAAGACAGAGCCTGAAATCAGCCTTGCTGCTAGAGAAACGTGTAAATGAAGAAAAAAGTTGAAGTCGCAGTGATGGACATATTAAAAAATCATTTGTGAATTTCAGTTGTCTAACAGATCTTTGCCACTTTGAAAGAAATGGGCTGATTTGCAAGATCTGCGTTTTTAATGTGTAATAAATAGTGGGAGAATGTATGAGAATCTGTGATTTTCTGGTTAGCTAGGGAAATAAGCAGAGACATAGGAATACAGTACTAACTAAAAATACAACTGTATGGGGAAGGCGGGAGAGGAGAAAAAAAATACAACTGTATGACATATTACAAAGTTTGGACTACTTGGAAATTAAAAAAACAAAGTCATTAATGTCCTTGGGATATTTTGCAGGGATGAGGCATCCACCACTCAGCTTTATCCTGAGAGTGCCTGTTTGGCATCTGTATATTTAGTGGTTGCTGTCAAAGCATCCACGTATGTAGGGGGATGTTAAAAACAGATTGAACTCAACAGTATTAGAATACAGTTCTCCAGAAACCTTAAGAAAACTTACCCTGTACCTTGTACCAACAGATTTTATACAGTTAAGGACTGTCTACATCCGGAGTATTGAGCATTATTATGATGTTTTTAATTTTTAACTTTGGATTGGTTTATTGCATCAGAACATGCTTGCTGAGAGGTCTTTGACATTCACAAGTTTTCTTGGGCCCTGAATCAGGATATCCAGTTGGCTCAGTAGGAAATAGAACATCAGACTTAGGAGCTTTGATTCCATTTGTTGATCAAAACTCATGAGGTAGGAGATTTTTCCCAGCAAAGTTCAATGCTGGTGCTGTTTGTGGCAAAGATCCAAGACACAGAACTAGTTCTTTGGACCACTGAAGATATCTAAAATGTAGATTATCATAGAGAAGAAGGTTTTTTTTGTCCAAATACAGCCTCAAAAATATACAAAGTATGAAAGAAAACCTCAGATGAGTCCCATCCTTTTTCATGAACATTGTAAGACTTTCAGAGCTGATACTGGAACCTTAATACCGATAATTTGTGTTCATATTGTTAATGACACATAACATAGTTACTCAGATATGTTGGGTGACTTGGGCCTAGCAGGTAGTTTCCTTGGCATTTCCAGGTGGCTGAGGAGGCAGCTGGGTCTTGCCTTACCTTGGGCTCTTTCAGGTAGCAGTGCATGGCCTGGGTGACGTCGGCTGCGTGAACAGCATTGTGATACGGGTTTTGGCTGTGGTAATCTTCTTGAACCATGACTAGGAGGTAAACAGATAACTCAATTAATTAAAACCCAAATAGAAGTGGTATACTAGCTTAGACTTACTGTGGGTGCTTTTTGCTTAAAAAATCAGTGCCTCCAAAATGTGCAGCCTAGAGATGCTTTAAAAATAAACGTGGTTTGCAAGCTTGGCAGTTCTGCTAGGCTGTTTTTAGCAGAGAGCAGAGATGGACAGCAGAGGGGAGAAAGGCCAAAAGGATTTGTGAGGCCTTGGGATTTCTCACCTCCTTCATAAATCCTCCCTTTCTAACACTCATAAAGGCTGTCATTCATAGGAAAAATAAATATGTAGGAAAAGGACAACTTTATCTCACACTAGACTTTCAGTATATATTTCTGTCATTTATAAATAATACGCCACAAATGAGATTTCCTTCAAAGATCCCTAGTAACATCAGAAGACTGATATCTAAAGACTGGTTTAACACTTGAGTAACAAATACCAACGAAAGCAAATCGGGGCTTCTTAGGGCAGAAATTCAGGGTACTGCCTTGATCCAACTGTGGACTCCTTGGATTTATTTCTACCTTATTCAAGTTATAATATCATTTTTCATGCTCCTGCTGTCTAATGCAAGGCTTAGAGTGCTCTTGGAACCAAGCAGAGACACAGGCAGGGCAATTTTGGTTTGCTATTTATGGAAGACACTAGCCTGCTTCAGCTCATAACCAGGGTGATGCTTAGGATGCAATATATTCAGTGTGTATAGACCATCCTGATATGCAAGTGTGGTGAGATTCAGCCATTTGCTGTGAATCTGGCTCTGGATTCTGGTGTTAATTCTGCTGTCAAATCTTTGCATTCTTTAAATGTTTTCTGGGTAGATACATGTGTCCGAAGTATCTATATCTGTATCTCCCTTTTTAGACAAATCAAAATTACTTGGTCCTATGCATGGCCATCACTTTGCTTAATCAATTAAAATACAGTCAGCTGGAGGATATTTGGGTTTCTGGAAATGAGCCATGTTGTGGCTGGTTCAAATATTTCTGTTGTGTTGCATATACTTTTATTCAGCAGGTATATATTACAATCATATTTAAATCCTCTATCACTTAAGGTCTGTACTGGGCAAGTTACTTAACTGCAAGTTTGCTCAGTTTCCTTCTCTATAAAATGAGGATAGCAGTAGCCCTGAATAAGGATCAAATGTGTTTATTAATATATGCAAGTGCTTGGAAGAGCTTCCAGCAGATGTCAGCACCATAGAAACCTGGTTGTGGCTGCCGTTATTATTGTTGTGCCTGTTATTTTCTTCTGATGGCATTAAGTCAGCTTCCAAAATCAAAGTACAGCCATGTGGCAAGTCAAAAGCCAGAAACATGCCAAATGGCAGAGGAAAGTCCTTTGGTGATTAGAAATGTGTCCTGAAAAATTCACTGGCAGAGAAGTAAGAATATGCACAAATTTAAATAAGAAGTGAGGCTGCCTTTCGACACAGAGTAATGATGGAGTTGAGTGGAAAGATGGATGACTCCTCAGTTGACAGAGCTAGGCTTGGACTCAGATTCTGCCACTCACTAGCTGATGGCCTTGGGCAAGTGATGAAACCTCTTTGTACCTCTCCTAAACTATGGGACAAATGGTGATAATAACATCCTACTTGCAGATTTGTTTAAATGGTTAGAAATAACTTGCCAAAAGTACTCTGCTCATAGTGGGTACTACATAAATGGTAGTTACTCTTTTTTAAAAGCCTATTGAAAATTTTCAACAACTCATGTCCTGATTAGAATTATTTGAGGCACATGCTGCTGGAGGTTTGTTAATATGTCAGCAGACCAGTATCATCTTTGAAAAGTATATGTTCCTGACGGGTTTCTTTATGTATACTTTATTATAAACATAACTACACGTGACCCATGACCACATGGGTTTAAACCACGTGAGTCTCCCTGTACTCAGATGTTTTTTCTGCCTCTGCCACCCCTGGAACAGCAAGACCAACCCCTGCTCTTCCTCTTCTTCCTCAGCCTGCTCAGTGTGAAGATGGTGAGGATGAAAACCTTTAGGATGTTCTACTTCCACTTGATGAATAGTAAATACATTTGCTATTCCCTGTAATTTTACTTTGTTTAAGAATATAGTACATAATACATAGAACATACTACGTATGTGTTAATTAACTATTTGTTATTGATAAGGCTTCCAGTCAATGTAGTAAGCTATTAGTAGTTGGGTTTTTGAGAGTCAAAAGCTATATACAGATTTTTGACTACACAGGGGGTCAGCACCCCTAACCCCCAAGTTATTCAGGATCAACTGTAATCAAGTAAACAACTTTTAAATGATTTAGGATGGACAAACCATATTTTAAAAGTAAGATGAGATCATTTAAGATTAATTGGAGGTCTTCATCCATCATCCTATGGTTCTTATTACTTTATATTAAAGAGTATTATGCACTGCCATTATTCATGAGAATGGGACTAGAAATGTGGAAAAAAAAAGACTTACCTAAAAATCTGTGTAAGGTCACCATATCTAACTTGAAATGGTGAATAAGTCCATGTGTATTGAAGAGGTGGCACAGCAGTGTTACCAGGCTGTTTCCTGCAGTAAAACAGTCACTTCCTTTACCTCGTTTTTATCACCACTAAAATATCAAGATTGACAATAAGATCCAAAGTCTGTGTTATAAAGTTTCTCTCATAGAATATTTTTCCCCTTTTGATGTGAAATTATTCAAGTATAGAGCATATTACTATGATCTGGTCCTAGGTTTTTTCTTATTGTACAAGGAAAATTAGCTCAGACCTTCTCCCTTCACCAAAGGCAATGAAAACATTAAGAGTTAGAAGAAATCTGCCTACTGAGGTGTCGGGGTTACAGACACACCCACCCACATATGCACATGTATATGTGTATTTTTTTTAAAGACGCAGCTTATGGCCACTTGAAATGTTCCTTAAGTCACTTCCAGTTGACTATTCCATTTGCAGGTGTATCTAAACCACTGTACTGCTTAATAGTCATAGCCTATTCTTCTTCCTACGGAAAATCGCTCAAGAGGAGATCTGACTATGAGCTATTTTAGAATTCATGTCAGCAGAGATGCAAAATTGAAGCTGTAATGACTTGTAAGGATTCAAGAAATATTGTTAATTTAGGTATAAATGATTTTGAATTTTAAAAGCACAGACAATGAGACCAATGGAACAGAACAGAGAACCCAGAAATAAATTCATGCGTCTGTAGCCAACTGATGTTTCACAAAGGCACCAAAAACACATTAGGGAAAGGACAGTCTCTTCAATAAATGGTGCAGGGAAAGCTGGATATCCACGTGCAGAAGAATGAAATTAGACCTTTATCTCTCACCACATAAAAAAATCAACACTAAGACTTATATGTAAAACCTGAAACTATGAAACTACTGGAAGAAAACATAGGAAAAATGAAATCAATTAGGTGGAAATACAATTTATTTCCCTCTCTTGATTTTGTAGCTACTTATAAATCAATTTCAGAATTTCTTAGAGATATGTGGTGTATACTTTGTATACATGTGAGGCTCTTTGACTTCTTTGAACTAGTTGTAGCATCTTACTGGATCTCTAGTTAATTGAGTTAAAGAAAATCTCTGACGTGGTCATTTCATATTTCTATGAGAGTCATGATTATATTCTCTTTTAAACAAATACCATTTAACAAGTCCTTTTGTTCACAGGTAACTTCATTTACCAGTATCCATTTCTCAGTTGATTAGAGCAAAATGAAATGCAAAATTATGGGATTCATCTCTCTATGGTCTAGTTTGCTTTCCACAGCGTAAAGGTCCATTTCATGGTCTTAGGCTATATTTCTCTCAACTGCATATTGTCTGCCAAGTAATAGAATGATGAGAAAACCATACATAATGACATAAAGAACAAGTCTGGCAAATGATGAGACCTATCAACATCAGCATTAAATGTGATGTCTTTCATTGGCTCTCAAAGCTCATCAGCATTTGTTTAATGGCCAGATAAAAATATAATAGGTTTTTAAACATTGCATGTTCTCATAAGTGGGTGTTGAACAATGAGAACACATGGACACAGGGAGGGGAACATCACACACTGGGGCTTGTTGGAGGGTGGGGGGACTAGGGGAGGGATAACATTAGGAGAAATATCTAATGTAGATGACGGGGGGATGGGTACAGCAAACCACCATGGCACGTGTATACCTATGTAACAAACCTGCATGATCGGCACATGTACCCCAGAACTTAAAGTATAATAATAAACACACACAAACTAAAAAGACAGTATGGAAACAACCGTTCCAATATTTAAAGTGAATAGTAAAGAAATGCCAAAGATACAAAATACATTATGTATATCAGAAATCTATTTAAAGCTTGGCTGAGTTTATAAATCCCATCATCTGCCTGTAAAGAAATGTGAATAATTAAAATTATAAAGAGGTCCATAAAAATATAATAGGCTTTTATTATTTTCTTAAGGAAGGTCTTTGTAGGCACAAAAATATAAGAAGTGACACCAATGAGGATGTTTACTTTTCCCTCTGGCTGCAGCCTAAGCTTTTACATTGTTTCCTTCTGGTGACGTCAAACATATTTGAGCAATACCAGCAACAGCGAAGACTTAGCTCACTTAATACAACTGCACGAGCACCCTGCCCTATAAAAGTCAGGGCTGATGAGATATGCTTTTGTTTCTAGTTTTCATCAACAATGAACTCCCTACTTTTGAATGTGGCCAAAATATTCTGCAAGAAAAGAATCTAATCTGTGGTTTCTAAATTCCTTTGGGATCATCAAGGTCAGAAGGAAACTGTCTTAAGATTCTAAGGTCAAATTCAGTCCTTATTCTTCATCTGAGTTAATTTTGCCTTACCCTAGTCTTACTTCAGTAGTTGTAGATTTATGGAAATGGAAAAAGAGGGAAAAAGGAATAGCAGTGTTTAAAAATAAATTTTGTTTTTCATGAAATTAATCCCACTTTATGGTGTGTATTTGAGTGAGAATTCTTTTGGGTAACTTACCATTTGTCAAGCGATCAAACAAGAAAATGTCAAAATCCCACATTCCCACTTTGGAGAGCATATGCTGAAAAGGCAAACAAAAAACAGCACGCAAATGAATCACTGGAGACTCAAACGTTTACTTTGAGATAGAGTGGATTAAACAATTAAAAAGTTGAAAATCCTAGCATACTACCATCTAGTGCAACTGAATAGTTTCTCTGCGTCCTACAATAAAATCCAAATGCCTCGGCATGACACAAAAAGACCTTCACAACACATCAGAAAAATGAAGGGATATTAGGTTATGTTTGAGTTTTAGATTCTGTGAGTCTTTTACCTGTCACACAGTATTAAAGGCAGCCCCAGGAATTGGCCCCTGAAAGCTGGACTTCCAGCCTGTCCTTTCCATATCTCACACCCCTTTCTTGAGATACGGCTGCTTAGAGGAGAGATACCACCAAGAGTGCTCTGTCAGTGACATTCCAGGGCTGGGGAAGTTTAGGCTTGTTCTCTTCTCAACAAACAAACAAGCAAACTTTCAATAATTTGTCCAATCTCAGGCCTTAAGTTCTTAGGAATGATTTTGTTAGGAATGATTTTTTTTTTCCTTTTGGAGATCTGTTGGGAATGAGCTCTTTTGACACAACTTGCTATTCCTTTCTCCAACGGCATATATTACTAGCCTGCCTGCCTGCCTTCTCCTCCCCTTCCCTTCTTTCCCCTCCCCTTCCCTTCCTTCTTTTTCTTCCCTCCCTCTCCCTCTCCCTCTCCCTCCTCCTCCTCCTCCTCTTCCTCCTCCTTCCTCTTTCTTTTCCCCTCCCTCCCTCCCTCTCTCCCTTCCTTTCTTTCTTTTTAAGACCTGGTCTCACTCTGTCCCCCAGGCTGGAGTGCAGTAGCATCATCATACCTCATTGCAGCCTTGACCTCCTGAGCTTAAGCAATCCTCCTGCCTTAGCCTCTCAAAGTACTGGGATTATAGGCATGAGGCAATGTGCCCTGCCAGTGGCATATATTTCTTAATAGATATAATTAGTATAATATTACTTAGCATGTAAGCTATAAAATCTATCTTCGATTTCTGTATAAACTGGGGCATTTATTGCTGAAATTTAAATTCCTCCGGCAGTTTGGGCTAGACATAACCTGTACACATTTTTCAGATTGTCACACATAAATTTTTATGCTCAGTTAGATCAATGTATTACAAAAATAATTGTGGAATTATTAAAATTTATTCAAATGAATTAAAAATTATGAAAAGGAAAATACACTGCATTAACAGCCTAAAGTAGAATTAAGAGTTGATAATTATTGGGTTATTTTTAGTGTAGCCATTACAATGAGATAATTTAATGAATTAAAAAATTTATTCTCTCATTAGTAATCCACCAGTCCAAAATTTTGCTTTATTTAGTATTGTGTAAATATGTTTTGTACCTTTATAAAAATGAAAATGGTTAGTATGTGTTAGGCATGGGTATATTAAGCATATAAGCATGGTTTACTTCATACACCTCATAAAGGGGATGTTTCTGTTAATTTCATTTTCTATTAGAGGAACAAGTCCAGATGTACAGAATAATGAGCTCAGGGTCACAGAGCTCCTCAGAGGCTGAGCAGGACTCCAACCCCAGTGCTATCAGCTGAGACAGATGCTCTTGGTCACCGGCCTACTGTGAGGAGACAGAGGGCAGTCAGCTTACCCTTGCTTGTCCAAGGTAGTCTTCATCCAGCAGGTGGAGAGGGGCTTGTGGTATAATTCCACGAAGCAGCCTCGATGCATGGAAGTATCTTTGAAAGCTTAATAGTCTTTTCACCTTTTTCTTGGTGCCAATCTCCCCTGAGTATGTTGTATCTGTGAAAGTCATCAAGTCAAGAGATTTGTATATTTAAAAAAGAGCCAGTTTTCTCCACTCTGTAAAAATATAATGTATTAAAAAGCAGAGAAATTTAAAAGTTGCTCTCTATGCTTTTAAGAACATGGTCTGAACTCTACATTTGAAATGCTTCATGAATATACCCGACATTTCTTTCTTTCTTTCTTTTTTTTTTAACTTATTTATTTTTTGAGACAGGGTCTCACTCTGTCTTCTAGTCTGGAGTGCAGTGGTGCAATCTTGGCTCACTTCAACCTCTGCCTCCTGGGCTCAAGCGATCATCCCATCTCAGCCTCCTGAGTAGTTGAGACTACAGGCATGTGTCACCATATCTGACTAATTTTTATATTTTTTATAGAGACGAGTTTTTACCATGTTGCCCAGGCTGGTCTTGAACTGCTGAGCTGAAGCTATTCACCCACCTTGGCCTCCCAAATTGCTGGAATTATAGGAGAGAACCACCACACCTGGCCTACCTAATATTGACATTTCTTATATATTACACTTACTAAAATGTCAAGGTGTTTCAGAATGTAATTTTGGAAGGCCATGAAATATATGAATTAAGAATTTCATTTTCTTGTTAATGATGCTGGTATGCTAAGTGAAATTCACACACTTCTGCATGCATTTGAAATGAGCAGTTATTCTTTTTCTACTGTAGTGGAATAGAACTGGAGACTCAAACATTTAGAACATGTTCTCATCCCACACTCTGACTAGTATGATGAACTTTTCCACCTGATTAGAAGAGTTGTGTCTACACCAGTTTACACATGAAGAAATGGTTCCGAATGTCCCAGGAACATCACTTGGCAAAGGAACCAAAAATCTTAGCACGAAGTGAACTGGATGCCCTGATAAGAAGCAGGGATGTTTACTTCCTAATGATGCCTTCTTTTTTACTTGTTGCCATAAAAATCTAATCTTAACAGAAATTTTTTTTTTTTTTTTTGAGAGTCTCGCTCTGTTGCCCAGGCTGGAATGCAGTGGTGCGATCTCAGCTCACTGCAAACTCCGACTCCTGGGTTCAAGCAATTCTCTGCCTCAGCCTCCTAAGTAGCTAGGATTACAGGTGCCCACCACCATGCTCAGCTAATTTTTCTATCAGTAGAGACGGGGTTTCACCATCTTGGCCAGGCTGGTCTTGAACACCTGACCTGATCCACCTGCCTTGGCCTCCCAAAGTGCCGAGTGACAGGCATGAGCCACCAGTAGAAATATTTTAATAGTCATTTCACATGTGCCTTTCAAAACTTGACTGTTGACATCACAGTGAGTGTCCAGAAATACCCCAAACACATTTGAATGTCTGTCAAGATATTTCTTATCTCAGCTGAAATTATATGAATCACTCTAGGGCCACGTTAGTGACGTCTGCAGCCAATTTTGAATGTAGAGTGAATTTAACAGTCTCGTAGGAAATGTACAGCTCATATGTAAAGTAATTTTGGCTTCTGTCCTACCTTCTCCCATCTTCCCCTTTCCTCTATGGAACTCAAAATCACAACAGATGGCAGAGGCAGAGGAAACAATGGGTGCTCCCTGATGGCAGTGAATGACCAAAATCAGTTTGTTATTTAGGTTGCATTATGCATGCAAAGGCATAATTTAAGGGCAGGCTACTGGTGGACCAGGTCTGGAAAGGTTTGATTTTATATATGTTGTATTTAGACATTTATTGGAGATGCAGGTGAACATGCTAAGTAGAAATAAATGGACATAAAATCCAGAGCTTGGGGGAGAAGACTGGGTTTGAGCTAAAAACTTGAGAGTTGTCAGAGGAGATTACCTAGGGAGTAAGTATACATACGTATGAGAAAAGGATCAAAGTCTGAGTTTTGGACTCTACCTCAACTTTACATGGGTACAGAGAAAAGTAGGGAAAATTAAAGGGGACTGGGAAGGAGTATCCCACTGAGGACAGAGGAAAACCAAGAGACCATCATTTTCTAGAAGCTTCATGAAGACTGTATTGCCAAGAGGAAGGTGTGATCATCAAAATTAAATGCTGCTAATGGGTCAGGTACTATGAAGACTGAGACTTGGCCATGAACTGCACAAAGTACTTGAGCACATTTTATTGTGTGCCTAGAAGCAGCCACACCCTGGAGCAATGAGCATATCTAGCACCCAGATTTTTGTTTTCAAATATGACTTTTTGCTAATAGGAACCAGATTTATCTTGGTGAAATGGCCAATTCTAAGGCTGGGATGGAAAATGTACCAGATGAACTGTAGCATCCTGTTATACCAGAAAATAAGGGAGAGCTCAAAAAATGATGGAATCATTTAAAAATGATAGAAGTGTGGCAACATCAAGGGGTCTGAGAAAATATGGGAAAATTTGAGCCTCAAAATGAATAAATAACGAAAGAATTAGAAACCATTAGCTGAAGTAAGAACCAATGAGTTCATACCAGTGGTAAGGTAAGTAAGTAAATACATAAGGAAAAGTGAAATCTCTTCCTTGCAGAATGTGCCAACCAATAAATGTAGAAGAAATAACAGAGTTGGAAAATTACCATTTTGCAGTCAATATGGTAATGACTGGTTCAGTGAATAGTGAATGGTTACTATTCACAAATTTTGACTAAAATATTACTAAACTAATGATGCCATGAGCTGGAGATACTAAGTTTAGATCTGATTTTATCTTTACAACAAAGGCCAGAATCATTAACAGATACTAAAATTATTAAGTGAAAGTTTAAAAAGCAGTAGGGCAACTACCCATTATCAAAGCATTTACCCACAGAAGACTTATTAATTGGAGAAGAAAAAAAAGTGTACATTTTAGTGGAAAAATGCAAAGGGGGCATCGTCTTCCCTAAGTAATCCAAGTTAATACCACCAGAAACTGACATCATGCTCTCCCTGATATAATGTGTTGAGGATACAACATCATACATACTGTGTTACTGCCCCAAATGCATATTTGATTCCAATAAAGAGGAAACATTAGAAAAAATCGCTAAAGGACACTCCACAAAATAACAAGCCTGTGCACTCTTAAAAAGTGTCTATATCATGAAAGACAAACACAACCTTCGGTATTGTTCCATAATAATGGATACCAGAGACAGTGCGCTAAATGCAATGCATGACCCTTAGCTGGATTCTGGATCAGAAAAAAATTTCATAAATGATGTTATTAGGACGATTTTGGATTTGTATTTATGCATGAGACATTAGTGTTATATCTAATATATATCTAATATGTAGTGTTATATCTAATATATAACACTAATGTCTCATGCATAAATCCAAATCCATGTTAAATTTCTTAAATGTGATAATTAAAGTGTGATTACAAAAGAATGCCTTCATTCTTAGAAAATACATGCTGAAATATCTTAGAAAATACATGCTGAAATATTTAGTAATAAAGTGGTATAATATGTATAATAAAGTGTTAAGAGAAATGTATAGCAGTAAGGCAAAGATTGCAAAATATAACAAATGGTGCATAAGGAGAAAGAGTATATGAGTATTCTTGCAGATTTTTGATTCATTGAAGTTATTTTATGATAAAAAGTTTAAGAAGAGAAAAAACGTGGAGTCAAAGTTTGAAACAATATGAAGTGTAGACCACTCTTTTAAGGAGTTTTACTACATGGAAAAGTAAAGAAAAGTAGCAATAGCTCTATATAGAATGAAACCAATTATTCAATAAACAAATTATTCCGGTGTTATGTATAAGAAAAATCTAAAAGAAAATATCTATAGATGATCTTTTCTTTTTTTTCATACTCTATAAAAATTCCCCCATTCCAAAATACTAAAAGAAAAGGTGTTATGTAGCTGAAAGTATACTTATATTTATACAATAAACTCAGAAGCAAGTAAGATAACCCTGAATAATGGGAATATGCCACAAACATAGCAAATTGAAATGATGGATTATTTCTTAAACTTCTCTTTAGCTTTCCAAGTAGTGTAGTCCTTTGGGAAGATTCATAGCTAAGATAATGACACTGAAATTAAGTGACCTATCATAAGTGTAGATGATAGGAAATAGTGGTTACTATTCAGTAATTTTGACTAAAGTATTACTAAACTAATGATGCCAGCAGCTGGAGATATTTAGATCTGTTTTTATCTTTACAACAAAGAAGAAAACAGCAAGGTTCCTTACCTATTTCAGTAACATAACAGAATGCAGACCTCTTTTGATCTTTATTCAGATTTTTGACATTGTTTCTCATGACTTTTTTGGTTTTTGTTTTGATTTTTAAAAATATTGCATTAAGATATGACACATCTTGATCACTGAGTTATTTGGTACTCCCCTAAATTTTAAGTAAAGCCAGTGTCTCATTCCCCTCACTCTAGCCTGTCTTGCGTCTTTTTTTTTCAAGTTAAAAAAAAATTAATAGAGATGGGATATCACTGTGTGGCTAGGGCTGGTGATCCTCCCACCTGGGCCAAGCATACATGCTGGGATTTTAAGTGTGAGCTACCACACTTGGCCAGCCTTTGAAGCATAAACTCAGATGGTGTTAAAAAAATACAATAATAAAATAAAGCTGGACAACATATCTTTTCATAATTTTTTCTGATGCTTTGTAGGTTAAAAAATGTAGCTTACAATGTCTTTCCCCATAAAAATGTTCAAAGTTTTTGAACAAATTGGTCATCATGATGTATAGTCTTTGTGTATTTTCAAACCTCCCGTCTCAGATGGGCAAGTAGGTATCTGACAAATTGCAGTGTTAACTGGTGGCCAATATTTCTAAAATACCAAGGCAGGGCATGACTACTCCATTTAACTTCTATCTGGGTTATCCTTTGATTAACAAGAAAATGATTCCGAAGCAATGCTACATAGTCATTTGTGAAAACAGTAGCACTTAATTTTTTTATTTAAGGACATACATAAAGCTAATTGGAAAAAGAAGCCTCAAGGTAGCTTAGTAAAGGGAAAGAACATGCAACAATCCAAGAAAAATAAGTTTATTTAAACTAACATTAATAA